AAAAGGAAGTCTGAATGATCATCATCATGTCAAGAGACAGTTTATGAAGCAACACATTGGATATTAGTTGATCTTTAATAAAATACTATATATTGATATGATATCAATATTTATATTGTTCAATATATGACATTTAAGAAAATTGCTATATTATTACAGTCAGGATTGTTCTGGTAAATTTACCAGTATATATATCTGAGCTAACACCAAAGCCCCACATGTAGCGCTGGGTGTTAGCTAGCATCACTGAATGATTTTTACATTTTCAAGAAAATGCATTTTACCTAATCTTAAAATTTAACTTCCAGTCTACCAGAAAAGACCTATGATATGACTAGGGATGGGTATCGTTTAGGTTTTATCCGATACCAGTACCAAACCGGTACTTTTGAAACGGTGCTGGTGCCATTATGGCACCGGATACCGGTACCCATCCCTAGGTGACCTATATGACCTATGATCTAAATAATGGTTATTATGAATTTCATATAGCTGAAATCTTCTTATTTCAGCTGGTCCCTTTAGCTAAGGACACAGCAGATTTTATCCCTAGCATCCTCCTATGTTACACTAAACCTCTATATTGCTTCCTTCACTGCATCTATAAACCTTCTCTGAAATCTTCCTCTTTCCTTCCTGCCTGGCAACTCCATCTTCAACATCTTTTGTCCAACATATCCACTATCCCTCCTCTGCACATGCCCAAACCATCTCAGTTTTGCCCCTTTAGGCTTTTTCCAAACTGCTTAGCCTGAGCTATCCCTATATCCTATGATTTCTAATTCAATTCCAATAAAAGTCTTAGCATCTTCACCTCCACCTCTCCAGACCATACATCATAGAAGACCTCAATACCATCTTGTAAACCTTACCCTTCACCCTTCTTGCTATCCTTTTGTCACAAATCACCCTTGACAAAAACAAAAAAACAAATATATGCTTAAACTGCAGTCAATATCACATTCAGTAATCATCAGCAGTGGAGAGCAATTTGACCTTCAGGTTCATTTAAGAATGTATCTAGAACATTGGATCTTATTGAAATGCTACCAGAATGTCTGTAAAAGGAAAGCTACAAGAAGCTTAAAGAGATCAAGATGAAAATGTGATCTAAAGAGACCACACAGATCCTCCATCTGCCTCCTCTAAAGCTCTCTTTGAGGGCTTCTAAAGGAAAATAGATGCCTTTGAAGAAACAGGCCTCAAGCCTCAATGGGTTGTAAAAATATTTCCACTGTTGGGATTCTTGCCAGCAAGTGAAGCTGAGACAGGAGCGTGCCTGTGCAGAAGTGGTTCTTGTGCAGGCTGAAAGTAGGAGGGCTTATCAAAGTTTTCATACTGGTCTCTGGTCGCTTCCTGTCTCCGAAAGTGCTCATTGTCTCAAAGGGCAAGATTGAAATATACATTATGAACAACACATTATGATATTTCTTCAAATGCTTGGTTCTGTTCACAATAACCAGCAAAAATGGGCTTCAGTTAGATTGGGATTCATTTTACCTCCTTATCAGGTTCATGAGCTAAACTTCCTCAGACTGCACTCCTGCTCTCATATCTGTAGATGGAGGCATCTATTTTTGGGCTCCATCAATCAATTGCATATGTTATCACAAAAGACTGTATTGTGTATCATGTCATATGTTGTTAACAGCCCTGTTAACAGTGACTAAAACCAAAACATGTAATCTAGAAAACAAGCAAACAAAATAGAAAAAGAAAACTCTCATTTTTGTTTAGTGATATTAAGCCTTTGATTGTTGGGTCAGATTTTGGCAATCTTGGTCTACTTTTGTATTTTTTTGTCCTTTTTAAAGAGTCTAATACTGTGCTGACTCACTTGAAATAACACTTTGTGAGCCAGGTCCTTCTGACCTTTTCATGTCAGTCTGCAAAGTGTACGCACAGAAAAGTAGCTCCCATTCACTTTGAGATGGCTTTTAATTTCCCACTTGCTTACATGTATTGCTAAAAGGTCATTTTTGTCTGTAGGCCATATTGATGTCAGTACTCACCTATGTTTATGTGATAATACACATTTATATCTTATGGAATCAGCTGATTACATTTAATATTATTAAGGGGTGAGGATTTATATATTGTGTGTGTTTTTTTAATCCCACGTTCAGTGTGTGTATGATTTTGGCACTGTATGTGGCCTGTTTTCACATAGATAAAATACTGTCTGTCAGGAAGAGAAGGGGGGATCACTGGGCTTCCTGTCAACAAGAGGAAGCAGCCTGCACGTTTGGCTGTTAATGTCAGATGTTGGGGAACTTCATATCTGAATGCGCACGGAGAGAGAATTTACATCATGCATTGTAGTTAATTATGGAGAAGTCACAAACACGGAGTATTTGAGAAAAGCTTCATTTCATTAAACCAAAAACAACCTCACAGACTGTTTGAAGGGCTCTGTAGAGTGAGAATGAAAAGCAGGGGGAGGACAGATCAGAGCCAGAAATATTACACATGAAGCAAGTCTGGTTTTGTTCTGGAAAAAATGCTTCTTTCAAGTTTTATGGGGAGGTTTGAAGCTCTTTATAATAAAAAGACTATAGAGCAGATGAAAAAAAATTATATACTGTATTTTCACCATATTTTCATCAATTTGAATTTATGTCCCTCAGGCTGATAAAATAGCTATTTGCTTCATTCTCATCTTCTGAAGTTAGACTGTACACAACAGCTTAATTTGTACCACATACAACAATAGACACACAGCAGTAAACCTAAGAGCACACTTATAGCCAGTATTGAATCCTTAATAAAGTGGTTTTTGAGGTTCGACAACCTGATACTCAACTACAAGTCTCAACTGAATATGTGCAGCTGTGATAAACCACCAAGCAACACTTGGGAGGAATTTGTCATTTGCACTATTCTCAACATAACAGGAGGGCTGTCAGACAGTAATTCTAAACTCTAACCTCAAGACGACCTTTCCCAGCTTTTATAGTATATACACTATCCACTATAAGTGCATGCAGTTTAATTATAACCACTTCAGAAGTGCAGCTAAAAGTCTCTTAACAGTGTCCCCAGTCTGGCAGTTCAGTTTAAGACAAAAACAATTACTTTCTGATCCACATTTCGTTTGGTTCCCCAGAAAGAACTGTTTTGTGGGGGCATTTTTGTTTTTTGTGCTTGTGGGAAACCGTTTGTAATTGTTTCCAGCGGCCTGTTAGTTTCCAGCATTCTCGTTTATTTTTTCACTCCTGTTGTACTGTGAATAGTTGACGTCACCATGGTAGCTGATTGGCTTTTAGTTCCCCCCCAGAGTTGGGTGACAGACTTGCGAGAGAGGAAAGGAGGAGTGGGAATGAAAATAGACTGCATGCCTGCTTTGCATTGTGTATAAAGAGCAACTGCACACAAAAGCATAGGTACACTGAAAACACACGATCTACTTTACAGTCCAACAGTGATGTTGCATGTGCAAGGTCATAAAAGAATCCTCTTTTTTTAGATGTGTTCAGGTTCTAGTTCTTGTTCTTTCCGTGGATAGTTTAGGATTGTACTAACAATTGATGCTAGTCACACGTTAACATAAGCTGACATGTCCACCCTTATGATGCACATCTTGCAAACGAAATGCAAGAAAGCATTTTAACTGCTCAAATAGAGTAGAAAAGTATTTAACTATTAGTCCATTTACAAAAGTGTGCTTTGTCTGAAAACTGGGACAAAGGACATCGACATCACGTCCAGTGAGACTTGGGTAAAAGTATGTCTCGAGTGTGTCTCCATAGCCTCAAACCTCATAAGTGGTGGGAGTTGTAAGGGCTAGTCAAAAAGTTCCCCTTGGCTGCTGAAGCAGAGATAATTGGACCCAGGTTCAGCCAGAGTTTTGGTATTCTCAGCTCGAGCCAACTTTTGATCTTCACAACTTCTCCTAGCAGACAGCGTCTGTATGTGAGCAGAGTCGACTGACTACGTGACATGTTTAGACTTAATTTCTGCACGTGAGGATTTCTGATCCATTTCCACCAAGTGATGTTTTTTTTCCCTTAGATCTTGCATATGTGGATTATCATGTTTAAGGTACGCATATAGCGCCAAGTGATGAACATTAGGTCCAGTGGCAAATGCATTGTTTATGCTTACAAGGGTTTAATTAATCTGTCTCAATGTGCAAAGTCAAAGATTAATCCTATTGACCTTATAAATAACTTAATTTACAATCTGATCCCATGAGAAAGCGAGGGGTTTGAAGGCAGTGCCTTTTGTTTTTGGCCTCTGTTGTATTGTAGGCTGTAAAATTAAAATCAGATCAATCATTTCACTTTGGCCACTGCTCAATATAATGATATAATACCAGCAAAACTATTAAAATTCCAATTTGTTTTAGTTTATTGTCTTAAGTGCCAATTAACTCAACCTTAATGTGGCCATTTAAGGACATTTGGAAAGGTTGCCGATCAAATTGTGCAAATATACCTTGAATATCCTTAAGGTACGGTCGTTACAGTGGAAATAAGAAGAGTTCAAACAATGGATGTCTTTATACTTAGACTCAAAAACTTCAGGAAATTGAGAAAGAAAATAGTCCCTCAGATTTAAAATGTCAACAAAGTGAAGTACAATCTGGCAGTCCGTGGAGAAATTCCCATGTTGTTTCTCTTGCAACACATTTATATTCACACAGATTTTTTAGATTTATTTTTTTACTTTTATAAAGATGCAAACACACAACATCACATGGATGAATGTAGATTCTACTGGTGCAGATCATAAACTGTGAAGTTTCAAAGATGTAACTTGAGAAAAGTGCCCTTCATCGTATATGAGGAAGAAGCTTCTTGACCTTAGTGTGGCCGGTTCTAGAGTGCTGATTGTTCTCAGCTGCTCTACCAATGAAAAATGCAGTCTCTCTGTCTTTGAGCATGCAGGACTCTTGTTATGGACTTAACCATTTTCTGCACATCCCTCACAGCAAGCAGTACTTTGTCTGTCATCTTTGTCCGTGTGAGTGTTGCTGTATGTAATATGTCTATCATCAGGTTGCAGGAAAGAAATTCAGCCTGTGGGATGACTTCCTCGTTGAGGGCAGAAGAAGTGGTCAGCAGGAAATGACCTTGGAGGATCTGTTCCAGTGTATCAGGGTATGGCCTTCTTATTTCTTTCAGCAAGGAAACACACTTTCTTCACAGCGGGTGCTGCTGAGTACACGCATGATTTTTTTTTTATTAACCTTTCCACCCCTCTACACAACGTCCATTATATATCCAGTATAACCTGACTTGCTATTTTACACTTACCCTCTCAGAGAAATTAAAATTACAGTGAATAAGCATTAGAGAATAAAAATCTTCTTACTGTTGAAATTTGTAGTGGGTTAAAGACTGGCTTTGATAAGTAAACAGGTAATTGCTCCTTTTATTACTAAAACAATACTTTTGAAAATAAGATCTACAAATTCATGCAGTGAACAGTTTAACTGAAAAGCTTGTCATAACTGTTTGCATTTTCCTGTTTCTGCACTGTTTTTGTCACAGTTTTTGTACCTTTTAAGTCCTCTCAGCAGTTCAGATTAGAGCTGTGCTTTGGTTGAAGGCAACTGTGACACTGTTGTACTTTAACCACGGTCTGGGTTGTCCATCTTATCACCAGTAACAAAAGACAAGAGCAGCACATGATACTGAATTCAGTCCTCTACTGTGAGGAATGGCAAGCCGTTTAATTTCAGGATGTCACTTCCATCCCAGATAGAGTGGTACAGCTGACTGTTGACCTGAATGTCGTATCCTAGAATGCAGTGATGGAAAACCCATCCTTAACATCCCATTGTAACTCTTCCTGTTTTTAGTGCGATCTTTATTACTTTTCTACACTGTACATTTGATCTCTGAGTCACTGTCTTCATCATACGTATGAGATATGTTTGTTTCAACCAGAACATCTGAGCACAGCACAACCAGCCTATTTGTTAGGTGCTTGCAATCTTGCTCTGAACAGACATTTGGTTTATTGATGGTGTTGAATTTATTTTTTCTGAGGAAGCAAAGAGAAAATAAATTGGCACGTCTTCTCAGTGCTCCAGTTGTTTCTTTTAACCTTTTAACCACTGGGTTTCCTTAGTTTGCTTGTGGAGTTTTCTGAACTGCTGCAGACTTACAGCTCTGCAGACTGGTGTCCTTGCAGAAGGACATCAGTCTTTGTTACTGCGTGCACTCTATCTGTGTTTACTGTCATGGCTTATTGTGCTTATTATACTGTACTACAGATTTAATCTATTTGTCTTTGTGCAGGAAAAGTGCAACTTGAATGTCTGCAGTCTTTTCTATGGGAATTCTGTCTTATTCAATGGACACAAAGAGAGGCTGAAGAAGAGGTATGTCTTAAAACACAGATACAGTACAAACTGCCCATCACTACCTTTACGTGACCTTTGCTGCACATATAAACAGTCACAATAAGCAACAGTCTCCTGTTTGTTTAGAGGCTAATGAGGTGTTTCCTCCTAGCCGGTGAGGAGAGAGCATGTTGACACACTAACACGCATCACTAAACACAGATGACTGAAACTCCTCCTCGGGTTTCCTTCTGTTTGTTGAGGAAAGACGTTAAAGAATAAAATGAGCGTGGCATTCTTTTTCTGCGTTTTAGAAGAAGCTATGGTATTTGACCCATTCAATGCTGCAGCAAATTAAAGGCATGTTTCATTAGCTCCAGGGTGTTTGAAATAAATCAGATGACTCGTGCTGCAAACTCTCCTTATCAGTTAAATAAAGACCCTGCAGGATTTTTCGATTCCTTGAAGAGAGTAGGAGGGAAATGTAATAAATCACTTTTCACCTCCAAACTTTATAGGCAATGGCTCACTGGGTAAACTGAAACATTCGATTATTAGTCCCGTCTGCCAAAATAATATTGTGAGTACTGGAAGCTCAAGTCTCTGGGGAGCTGGTGTTGTTGTTATGATTAGGTTAACCCACAGGGAGAGAGTGGTGCAGACTGCGGGCCATGTGGACAGCAGACCATACAAGATAAATGTCCTCTGGAGTATTCACTTCCTGTGCAGTCACCCTGTCCAGAGCTTGGACCAGTGAAAAGGGAACATAAAAACTTGGACAATGCATTTGTTATTGGGGTTAATTTTCTTCTATCTGCTAGTTATTAGTTATGTTTAAGATTTTTCATGCAATGTAAAGCCATGTGGAGATATATACTACAAAAGAGGTATTAGTAGGAGCACCTGATTAATAGTGAGAATATGTAGTTGTTCAACACAAACTTTGATTTCCACATTATTATTTAGAATAGCTTATGATTTATTTTTTATTTTTTTTGCAGGGTGTCTGATGTAGTGAAGGAGGTAACAAAGGAAGACATCCCTCCACATAAGAAGATGCTGGAATTAATCCCGTCATTTTCTGAAGACGAGGACTGCGAGTCAGTCCCAACGATCAGATACCTTTACTTGTGATACCATCGGCACAGTTTCAGTAAATATGAGTTTCATGGATCTGCTGCTGTGTAACAAGGGGACTTCTCAGGATCTAACATTTAAAAATGAACAGATTTTATTACCCGAGCTTGATATTTGAATGATTTTCTTCTACGTTTTTATTCCTCGTGTTTTTAAATTATTGAAATGGCATGATTTTTGTTAGACTGCATTCTTTGTTGTGTTAATGATCTATGTTTAAAAAACACTGATATATCGATTTATAAATCATTTTACGGAAAATGAGGAATCTTGGCAAACTGCACTCTTTTACCTAAAGTTTTGAGAAGTTGTGAAGTTGCAAAGACATACATGATAGATCTCGCACTACTGGGCCAGTGTTGGTAATTTGGCTTAAGTTAAGGTCATGCTGTGCACAGTGTTTATGGATACGGAAGATATACTGCCATATGTTCAGAGTGGAGAAGCCAAAGTCATTTAGCAGGATTTCATCTGTCCTCAGCATGCTTCTGTACATTCCCCGCCCCTTTCTGCAGCCTCAATGTTTCACTCCACACCCTCGCATTAACAGGCTGACATTATTAGCACGCTCTTGATGCTCTTGTCTGAATTTGATTTATATAAAGTGAATCAGCTCTGTAATTTTCTCTGCAACTACTTAATATATGTCTTCAACTTTACCTTGTAATTTGCATGATGATGCAATTTGCGATTACATTCAGTTGGAACAATAAAATGCCTCTTTGAGGAACAAGTTATTTCTGTGTATTTCATGAACAGACTTCAGTTCCCCATCATTTAAAATGTTCTTTCTCTGCTGGTATTGTGCATGCAGTACTGTGCAAGTCTCTTGAGCCACCTCGCATTTCTTTATATATATTGTTTCCAAGGAGCCAGATGTTCTCCAAATTTTCAAAGTTGCCTTGAGTAATAGTTCTTCAGGCTTTCTGAAGAGTTTTTAATTGGACATTGGATGCCTTTAACTCATTTTTAATTTTGTCCTTGACTGTTTTAATCCACATTACACTAATATATGACCTATTTCAGCGTAAAAAGGCACCTAACTCAATGGATAAACTAGTGTAGTGCCTACATATAACTGACAACTTAGCAAAGAAACTATTTCAATTGTATCTTTAGGCACTTTAGATACTAGCAGATTGTTGCAAACACAAAAAACATTTTGGTGTTTTTTGAATCTATGAAACAATGCCAACAATCATTCATTTGACATTAATGAAATTTTGCCCCAGCAAGCAGATTCCTGAAGAGCGTCTTGATGCATTCTCAGTCATCCAGGTAAGTAACTCAAAAGTTGATTCTGTTCATCTGGACGTAGCGATTTCAGTGGGAGAAACATTTCGTCACTCATCTAAGTCACTTGGATGAGTGACGAAATGTTTCTCCCACTGAAAACGCTACGTCCAGATGAACAGAATCACCTTTTGGAGATTCCTGAAGAGAAATTAGCTGAAATGTGGCATATCTCTGCAAGATGTGCAGTGTGGGCTTCAAAGGAAATTGGACAAGTGGAGGACAAAAGAAAAAGTGACAGACGTACGAAAACTATCTACAGCAGATGAACAACATCTGAAAGTCCAGCAATAACTTGACACAATACCTGAGACATGTCTGGCTCTTCAGTTGATCTACCTTCTGTTTGCTGTGAAGAAGCCTTCTTAAGAAAGGGAAACAGGCAGAAAATGCTAAGGTATGCTAAATTACACAAGAACTGGACTTATAGTTATTGGAAACAGGTTTAATGAACTGTCATGGTTTGGGACTGGATTTCAGAGAGTGGTCAAAAGTGATGGAATTATGAACCCAGAAATGTATCGTCAGAAGTTGATCCACCATGCAATACCATCTGAAAAGCATCCGATTAGCTATAGATTCTTTTTATTTATTTTTTACCATGAGAGTGATGCCAAACACACTGCCAGTGTTGTAAAAGCATACCTGGATAGAAACACACATAATCCAGCAGTCACGAACCTGCCTCTCCACAGTTGCCTTATATAATGTATTTCCATATGCACGTGTTTCAATAAACTGGATCTAGTTTAGGCTTTCCTAGGAAAACATAAAGAAATGAGAAGAGGATCAAGACTTTTGAACTACACTGTGCAAGTTTTGATGCACACCACTCCCTTTTCTTAATCTGGTACAAACTCTGTGCCCTTTACACAGCTCCTAAACCTTGTTTTGTATTTGTTTTCTGTTTGTTTTTAACTAATTGATGTGATACAATAATTATATCAACGCATTTCAATCATTTTATGTCTGCTAAAAGTTGACACAAAATACTGCTGTGATGATGAAGCTTTAGGATGATTAAAATTATTTGAATGCAAAACATTGATTGTTTTTTGTACATTTTTAATATTCTTGTAGCATTTAGCACTGCTCAGACAAACAGGGACAGACAAATTTGCATTAAATAATAATACTAATAATAAAAATAATAATAATCAGTTTTTATTCCAAAAATATAAACACTGAAAAAACAATAGTTCTTTTGAAACGGGTGTCTGTAGGTACAGTCTTCAGATGTAGCCAATGATGTCATTGCATATGATGGGCTGCCGGCTCCCTGTCTTCATGAGAGCGGTGAACTGGTAAAAATCAGTGTCCAGTGTATGTAGACCTGTGTGGGACTGGTGAAAGAAAGGTTTGAGTCCTTGGAGTCCCACGGGACAGGACATTCGTTTAGAAGCCTCTGCACTCCTGCAGCCCTTGGTGGAGTCTCCTGGTCTCTGCCTCATCTCCACACCTTTGGACACCCCTGCAAGTTTTCGGCGCATGTTAACCAGAATGTCTTTGGCAAGACGTCGGCCTGCATTTGGTTTTTGTTCTGCTGGCTCAGGAAGCTCCGGTAGGTCCATCCAATTCTTTATTAGGTCAGCAAAACTGTTGTCACCCAGAACCAAGGGCTGTCTGTTCCTGCTGCGGCTCAGCAGCATTGTCGTCCAGTCCTGTTGCTCACTGGCCTCGAATGATGTCCAGCGCTCCAGACAGGCGTCTGATGTTGATTTGGGTCGGATACGACCAGAAGGTCCTCTGTTTGTGCGGAGACAGGCAGAAGAAGAAACTCGTATGTTTCTGGTCCTCCTCAGCACCACGCCTTCATCAGGCCAAGAAGCTTCAGAGTAACCTGAGTCAAAGTCCACACTCTTCTCACTGCTGGGAGAGCCCTGTTTCAGCCTTTCATGCTCCTGTTGCTCTTCCTCCTCTTCCAGTGGGCTGGCCAGGCAGCAGGCAGAGTCATAGGTGCTGGCTTCACTGGCATCAGAAGCACGCAGTCGAGTGAGTCGCTCTTGCTGTGCCCTCTGTTTGTATAACCGAGTGACAGCGAAAGACTGAACACATGGTTCGCTAAGTGGCCTCGGCCTGCTTATCTGCTTCAAATCCTGCAGGGATCTCCTCATGTACTGCATGTGGTCCCGGAGGCAGTCAGAAGAATCTCCTAAACACAGCTGCACAACAGGAGAGGCAGACAAACAGTTAGTGGTGCAAGGAGATTTTAAATAAAGTCTATTCAAAATTGACATGTCCACCAAAACTACTTAAGTAAAGACAAGCTATGTTCATTCGTTGCAACAGCCAAGAGAGCTCCTAGGCCGCTTTCCAACATATCCCATCATCCCCTGGCCATTCTAGCTATATCTTGAACAGTTCAGTGTGTTATTTCCAGGACTCGGCCAGTAAGATTTTTACCAGCTGAGATCACTGTGCTCTCTGGCCTTATAAGAACTCAAGCATTCCTGAAAAACCTCAGCTTTATGGAGACCATCCCATGCAATATAAGTCCAGAAAATGAATTAAAAGCACAGGATGCACATTTCATACTGGGGAAAACTCTCCCTGCCTCCTAAATTTAGAGCGGAAGTTGAACAAAGTAGAGCTTAGTCTGGAGTGGAGTGTGAAGGCTCACATATCCTCTCTGGATTCCCCTAGTTCACAGGATGTGGACTGGCATGTATTATAAAACAGGAAGTGACAGCAACATTTTGGAATTGCACAAAGATCATGTGCTCAGTGTTAATTAAACCATCTTCGAGTAGGCAGTATAATTATATTGATGAAAAAATCCTTTAAATTTTAATCTGCACTTTGATCATTACAAAAATGAAGAAAAAACTACAATTTACTAAGAGTTTCTGGGTCAGGGAGTTGCAAAAATGCCTCCAGTCTAATCCGTAATGCTATTGTTTAGTTTTCAGGTTCTTACAATATTTGGCTTGCTGAGCTTCTAACTCCTGTCACTGTTTGTCTTGGAGTACTAAAGGTGCCACAATGCCATGATGTTATCACAGCTGTGGGTGCTGAACCATTTGGCCTCTGGGGGAGACTTCATCTGACATGCAGAGACATCCACTGTGAGATTCTGTGGTCAGTCTGCCACTTTTAAAATGCCCTGTTCTTCTTGGCTGCTTTCACACAATGGGCTAGAAGTGATTCACCCAGCTGTGTGCTTTTGGCAAAGGCAATTCTGGTTTGAATTAACAGTGACTTGGTGGATTAAAGCACTATAAAGAGAAGTTGGTCAAGAAATAAAATAAAAACAAAACAGAAAATAAATGCCAAAAAACTAGGATAAGCCAGTGTCTTAAGAAAGCTTCACATAGTGGGTTTACCAAGGGGTTTGGGGCATTTGTACTCTTAATGAAACTAATGCAGCACCTAAAACACAAGTAAACTAAAGAAAAAATAAACTTACCATTGCTTCTGAGAAAGTGAAGTTCAAAGCCTGTGTTTTTTTTTTCTGCAAAAGAAAAGAGAGTAGTGGATTAAGTTTTGAGCGTGTGGCAACTACCACCCTTCCTAAAAACACAGCGGTTTGCCAATACTCACCTCTGTATGTGGCTCCAAATGAATCGCAGCACAATCAACAACAACTCCTCAGACGAACAGCTGATCGGAGGTTTGTTCGCTCTTTGTGGGTCCTCTCTCCTCTGAACCAAATGAAGCTCCGTCAGCGGACTTTGTCGATGCTGAGCTTTTTGTCGCAGCGAATCAGCACAGCCCATTAAAAAACCAGCCAATAGTGAGTCGCCTGAAATAAGATGCCCCCTGGAGTCATTTCAGTAGTTCCCGCTGTGCGTTTCACACCACACTGTTGGGACTCCACATCTGGAGCTCTTTAAATTAGACACCTGAGAATACTCAAGTCGTCCAATTGCTATTTTGAATTTTTTGAGCACTATACATTTCCAGCAGAGTTATTATAGTTTTTATAATCTCATTTTGACTGTTTGTTTTTTTATCCGTTTAGTTTCCAGAGTAGTGCTGCTCGTTTCGGTTTAGTTGTTAGTGTTTGGAAATGTTTTTGCTATTTTCAGTGTTAATATTAGTCTTTTATTGTATGGAGGAAATATGCCAGAGACAAGATTTAGGAAGATTAGTATTAGCAACAAAAAATAACTCTGAGTTTTCAGACAAGTTAGAATAAACATGCCCGTTAAATACTCATGAGCTAAGTTATGATACAGTTTATTAGATTAACAAATACTAAAACTAAGGACATTACCTCTATATCCCCCCCCCCCCCAACTTTACAAATAATTTCAGTTAGTTTAAACCTTTACTAAAAGTCTATTTTTTTATTTTAGTTAAATAAAATGTTTTTTCTTCCACGTGCAGTTTTAGTTATTAATTTAGTTATAATATATATAATGAAAAAATAATGAAAAATTGTGATTTCAGTTGATAAACAAGCATTTAAAATACATTTTTTAATTCTCTCCAGAATCGTGCAGGCTACTAAAGGCCTAAAGTCCCAGGTATGTATTGATAGAAATAAATCTACATGTCGCCACCTTGTGGATCTTTTCCACAAAGCTTCTTCAGCAATGCGTATTCACTATTCTATTCTAATGGTCCTTTTGAAACGCAAAATACCTTCTGGCATGACTACCGCGCGTCATTATCTCACCTCTTTATATGCTGACAACACTCTGTATTGTAATTCAGCAAAGTTTAGGTTGCAGTCGCACTCATTTCTTTGCTTTAAGTACCTATTACATGCTCAGTTGCAAGAACTAACGTGTAAAGGATGTATTAAAATAAAAGAAAACAAGTTTGGCTTATAGCTGCAGTTTGTCCGAATGGTATTTATATAGTCTTGTTTTACCAAAATACTTTTTAGTTTAGTTGTATGATTGTCCTTTTCTTCTCAGTTTTTTGTTGATGTCTTTTTAATCAGCAAAGTGCTTATTCTATATTTTAAAGTTGCTCAATTCATTGTCTTTAGTGTCCTTCTGCTAGTGAACTGGTTAAAAAAATGAAGAAACAAAATAAAGTATTCTGAATTTTCCCTTAACACATCACACAGCAGAATCAAAGATCATGTGACCAAACCTTTATTTACGTTTAACAAGTGAATGACTTTTAATGTTAACAAACAACTATCATCCATTTGTCTTGGTATTGTGGTGCATCCTAAATGACAGATTTTGTGAACTGAAGTGGAGTAGAAATAGCCCTAGTTCACACTATGAAGATAGCATGTCTCTAAAGAACAAGTGTAAACAGATATCAAGGCACAAACATATGTAAAAAGACTTGGATTGAAATAAAAAGTACAGAACGATCCATGTTAGGAACAGACATAACCACTTAAAAATTTTGCAGATATCTTAAAAGTGACACATAACCATTTATGTTTTGTTTCTTTTAAGAAGTTACTTAAGGAATGTTAATCAGTTTGTGGGGAATACAAGCTAATCTATGGACAAGTCATGCAGAACAATGCACTATAGTACAAGAGTGAATATTGATTCTGTGTAAACATTGTACAAAAAACATTTTCCCTTCATCCATTTTCATTCTCCATGCTTGTTGGTTTTCTTCTAAAAAATAAGTTCTGTTTACAGTCAAAAGGTTCATAAAATGCCAGTTAACATAAGTTAATAGAATTTTTATAAAAAAAGGTTCATTTGACTTTATCCTTTTATTAAAATGCAAAAGTAAAAGGCAAAGTAAAATGTAAACCTAAAAGGAAAACACAATAAGAGATCCAAATATAAAAGAACGCTCAATAAGTCAAATAAATACCAAGAGGTTCCCCAACTGGTCCATGAAAATGGAAAACATGTTTTTTGTTTGTTTTTTTCCCCCAGTGTTTTGATTTAGTCGTTTGGTATAATGAGATTGCAGGTCTTAATTGTGTCAAACTTTACTCTTACAACAATCATTTATTGAAGGCCAGCTGGCCAACATACAGTTACACAGTTTCCAAATGCAATTAAAAAAGCAGATCTTTTCATGTAAGTGCCTTAATTGTTATTTGATTGCTTTTGTCAAATTAGAAAGTTCTCGGTCATATATGTGTACAAGTAACCCCTGATAAGGAGCAGTAAGCTATACAGTATATAAAAACAATAACAACAGATCAGACAGATAACGTGATGGTTGCAAAACAGTGATTGTTAAAGTTCTTTCAGGTTCCCCCTCTAGGAATCAGTTCTCTTATGGTTTTCATTATGAAAAGCAGTAATCATTCATGGCTATTGCAGTCACTCATGCAGTCTGTGTGCGTCGGGTTTTGTCCTGCATGAAAAGACAAACAAGTATACATTCTTTAGACAAGTTAATGTACATAAAATAAAATGAAGAAAAAGAAGCTCTTGTTTCACGTTTGACTTTCTGATTTCTAGTGTTGATTGCAAATTAAATTTTTAGTGAAAAAAATTGCACAGATCTTGAGAAGTTAAAAAAATGCAATGTAAAAAGTAATTTCACTCAATTTAAATCACATTCAAATAAGTCACTATACAAATTCATGCTGAAAAACTCAAAGTTCCCAAGTTCTGTCTTCCCTTTAATTTTCTTTTCAGCAGACATGAACTTAATTTTGTATCACAGCAATGACATTTGTCTTACTCTGGATAATCCACTGTTTACTATTGCCGAACAACAAGGCAACCCACTTGATGCGCTCAAGCTAAATGATTTTTGCCAGCTTTTCTTACACATTACTTAAGCGATGAAGCATTAAATTAAAATGTTGCCAATTTATTTCTTCACAGTGATAAATTATTACAGCTCTAGACTGAATATTAAGTTGTGCCAGTACAGACAATACATAGCTGATGAGATCATTAATAGGCCACCTAAATGACAACCCAAATGAAAATACAATGAATAACAGCCCATTAGACTTTACGGTAACATTTCTACCCACTCTGAAGCATACCTTTAGAAAAGACCACAGTCTTTTAGGTTGTTCTTAATAATAACGTCAGTGACAGCATCAAAGACAAACTGCACGTTCTTGGTGTCAGTGGCACAGGTGAAGTGGGTGTAGATCTCCTTGGTGTCCTTTTTCTTGTTCAGGTCCTCAAACTTGGTCTGGATATAGCTGGCAGCCTCATCAAACTTGTTGGCGCCTGTAAAATATGATTTAAGAGACAAGGAAGCAGTTTATTATCAAGTTGAACTTTCTGCAGAGAATGATCACAGATGCAGTATCATTCCTGATGCTCCGCTGTGTACCTCCGTACTCGGGGAAGCAGATGGTAAGAGGGCTGCGGGTAATCTTCTCCTCAAAAAGATCCTTCTTGTTGAGGAAGAGGATGATGGAGGTTTCGGTGAACCATTTGTTGTTGCAGATGGAGTCAAAAAGCTTCATGCTCTCATGCATTCGGTTCTAAAGAGAATCAAAACTGGTCATGGCTCATGACTTTCACTACAGTGTAACAGTTCATCAGCGCTGCCACCAGGGGACAATGTTCTTCTATATTATAAAAGTGAGGACAAATATTTCAGGTACTTCACAGCATCTCTTGGCCAAATGTCTCCTGAGCACTTTCTTTAAGCAATTCAAGAAATTGGGGTTAAATAGTTCATGTGCTATAACTTGAACAAATAGCTATTACGTCTTTTATTGCATAATTACACTTCACAGTGAAGCTCAATGAGCTAATTTTACAACATGGAGCTGACTATCATTCAGCCATTATAAGGAGGGATGGGAAATGGTACATTCCTTGCAGTGCAATATAATGTAATGTATCACATACTGAAAATGAGCCTGAAAGCAGATTTATGAAGCTAGTAAAGTGATATCATCCATACAGAAAGAGGCTCACATACAAGTACACATACACACAAGCATAAGAGGGTGGACTTTTCCTTACCATCTCCTCGTCCTCTGCCAGCACCAGGTCATAAGCACTCAGTGCAACACAAAAGATAATGGCTGTTACTCCTTCAAAACAATGAATCCACTTCTTTCTCTCTGAGCGCTGGCCTCCCACATCAAACATTCTGCCAGAGAGATCAAACAAAGGAGGTAAATTGTGTGTTTGTGTGTCTATATTTGGGGAAGGAGGTCACAATAAAAAAAAAGGAGTAATGTGAACCTAACAGGGGAAAAAACTGCTATTTCAGGAAAAGTGCTGTGAATGAAGGAAGGGCAAACTTAGAGTGACATTCAATGCCAGGAAATAAATTGGCTTTCATGTAGTTGTTTGGGGACCAAAAATGGTGAGGAGGTGGAGAGACGTCTGTCACATAATTTATCTGATAAAAGACTGCAGGGTCAGTGCAGGATAGAAGAGGCAGACAGGGTCCATATTCAGAGTAAAGCTTCAGTTAATGGAGATGCTGAGACTTGATTAAAACTCGCAGAAGAGAGGTGTGAGAAAAGCCTACGGAAAGATGAAAACAGTTCACCAGGACAACTACTGTATACATATATAATACTGGAACCCAAAATGAAGTTTCGACCAGACACAACGTGATCTAAAGCCAGCCACTGTCAATGGTGACAGCATCGGCTTCATTAAGGTGAATAGAGCAGAAACAGCACAAACGTGGCTTTTTTTGTATTGATCGCTTTCATGCATTATTTAGCTCAAATACTGAGGCTGTAACACAAAGCAAATATCAGAGATTATCAGGAAGCAGGTCACACCAAAGCCAAGTGGATACAGTTGCCTTTTTATTACCGTACCCATAACCTCTTAATATGTATTAAAAAGTGCATTAAAATGTGTTGAGACCCAAAAAGACAAAGAAATCTGCAAAAAACCCCAAAAATATAGCTCATCTTTTTTATCTACCTGCCACTCTCTTTCTCCATTTATACCCTTTGCACATTTATATAACATACTTTACATATTCACTTTACATATCTATGCATGCATTACTATCCCACACATAAGTGCTTGGGCTGGGTTAGAGCACATTTTATGTAAGACCAACAGTACTAGTTCTGTGCCATGTCAGACAAACATGTTTTATTACTAAATAATGCTCTGGTTTTATTAAGGAGGAGCACTGTGGGAAGGATCTAATTTATTAGTCAGCTCTTAGCGCAATCACAGTAATTAAGCTTTTAATTGCTGGTATAATTTGTCTTCTGATGTTTTAACATATTTCAAGCCAGGAGGGTCACTTGCCTCTTAACGCTATAAAGATTGAGATCTACAATCAAGTGTAGATTTTTTGTGGTAAACTAGAACCACGTTAACCCATGAACTCTGGAAAATGTAGAGAAAATCAGGTCCTCTCTTGCCCTTTTCACAGTCAACATGGTTCATTTCCCTCATAAATCCCCATGAACTGCTGATGAGACACCAAACACGTAAAACAGAGCAAGAAATAGTTTCCTTTAGGCACGTTTTCATGGTTGAAAATAATCCTGTGCAGAAGGCACTAACAGTGAACTCTACAGATTGATACTGCTCTATTCTTAGATGTGCAGATATCAGACATGAACTACTGTGGAGCTGGCAGGTTAAAGACAGTTTTCATGTTTGATCAGACTGAGCAGTACAGTTTCCACAGCTTTGCAAGGTGTGGTCGAGAAAGGTTCAGGGCTGCAGCTCACATCTTTCGCCTGTCTTCACACAAGGAAGGTCATACGACTCTAGAACAGGTATCTTGATATGCCGCTGTCTACACTAATTAAATGACAACATGCCCATATCTAATATTCAAGTGACATTTTTGCCTTACTGCTTTTCCCAAATTATGTTTGGCATCCCACTAAAAGTCAAATATGTGTGTCAGATTGGTGACCTATGACCTATGGTACCCTGCCTCTTGCCTATGGGGAGGGGGCTCAACTTTCAAGTGAGGGTCCCAGAACTCTCACAAAACAATGCAAATGGCTAAAGAAGTTTAAACGTGAAAAAAAAAACAACCCAATTGTGACAAAGTGAAATTATAATATATTTTTTTCATCTATATATTTATTTTGTTTAAAAAATATGTCACTTTTAATTGACAGGTTATTGATATTGAACCTTACTTGAAGTGGAGTTCCTTGAAAGTGAAGTGAGTCTCAACAATGCCGGTTGTCTTAACCCGAGTTCGTAGCACATCTTGCTGGGTCGGAATGTAATCTGTTTTAGCTATCCTCTCCAGGTCATTCAGGTAACTTAAGACAGAAAGAGAGAGAGCAAGGTTTCAAAATGACTTTACAATCTGCAACAAATGAGAGACAAAAACAACAACAGGAAGGCGTGTGGCTGCTGAGGCACTACCCAAAACTGCAATTTTTGAGTCACTTGAATAGCTTTAAACTTTTGATTTCTGACGTGCTTTTAAAGGAAGTGTGTAAATCAGGTCCTACAGTAAAGTTATAGTCAAATGCAATGTGCATCTTTCACTCTAGCCAGTTTAGAGTTGCAGAACTATAACAGAAAAATAAAGTTTCATTATTTCTGGCTTTTTTTTATTGCTCAGCTTTGCTATCAGTTTGTTTCACTTGCCACTCAACAAAAACATCTTGTGGCCCATTTCCTCATAAATCACCACTATAAAACTGCTGACCAGCTACAAACAAAATTGATTATTATTCTCTATAATGCGAGTTATTATATCCACAAACATTTCATATTTGCTATCTTTTCATGTGGCCTAAAAACGGCTTTTCTAGGTGTGTAACATCATGCTGATATTTAATATTCCCTCTCAGTAGATACAATGCTAGAAGTATATCACTGTGTTTCATCAACAGATTAAAACCTGCAGCTACATCTACATACGGGTATTTAATCCAACATACTATGTTCCTGTTTCACTCAGTGCAGAACTCATGGCTGAGTTTGTATATGTGAAATTGGTTTTGCAGCATATTTTCCTCTTGATTGATTCTGTTGTTGTAAGATTTTTGTGCTATAGCGCCTCCGGCCAACGAGTTTCCTGCAGATGGTAACACTGAATATTGGTTGTGACTCTGCCTCGGCCGCACTCATTACTAAAATTGAGCTTGTCAGAGACCAACAGCTACACTGAATACTAGTTATCTGTTGGCTTAATTCTGCCTAAGATCTCTTTAGAAGTTATTTGTCTGCTTGAGAAAACACGTCTGCACATTTACTTTGCTGACCTTAATCATTTATAATTTGCTGCAGTACGCTGCTGCATCTCAGATGTCTTTTTCTCTTTGTCCATTTCAGTTTACCAGCTGTGCATCTCCTGCAATAGAAGTGTGTAATACTGCACAAGCTGTAAGGCTCTGTATTAAATGCATTTTTTTTTGGGGGGACGGGGGGGACGATGACACATTTTTCATCATCACTCCAATTTGCCATGGTACTTGTGGTGTGATGCTTGATTTATATTAGACCTTTAATTTTTGCTCTTATGTTCCTGGGTGATTTTTCCTTTTCCACATCCCTTCTGTATTTCCTGTCTGTGTCCTCTGCTTGCCTGTGTGAGTCCTTTGTCCTTTTCAACTCCTCATGATGCTTTTGTTGCATTTGTTTCCCTGTTTTGTTCCTTTTGCCTCCCTCATTTTGTTTTTTATCTGTGTCTTATTATCCATCGCTCCTGATGTGGATATAGTCTGCTTGTTTTCCCCCAGTCTTTGTCAGGTCATTACCCTCATCTCTGACTAGTTCCAGTGTTTTCCTCAGTTTCTTGTGCAAGCTCCTCACAGTTGGTTTGCTTGCACTGCTTTATGGATTTTATTGTATTTTTTTTTCTCCTGCTACCTCAGTGCCTTGCAAAGTTCATACTAAAGATCTCTTTATTTTACTGCTTGCCTTCAGTCTCCCACGATGCCATCAACTGGGTTAAAAAATAAAATCTGATACCAACGTAACACAATCTCTACAATGTTAAGCTGGTATAGGCCTTTGGAGTAAAATGACATCATAGCATGCAGAACAAACCCCATCTCTATACCCATTATCACATGATAAGAAATACAGTCATACTCTCCATCATATTATTCTGTTTTTTAAAGACATGTTGCCTTTAAGAGCAGTATTCAATATGAAAAGCATGTGGGGGAAAGGAAACATTATAAAGACTATCCAAGAAAGAAGGTAATTTCTTTTGTTTTTGTTTTTTATGTCAAAATTTACAACTCATATTTCTCACTTCCCCTCAGTCCTTTTTGCATTTTCTCTGCTATCTGACAGACTGCTGGTCAGTAGGGGAGTGTGAAAGCACCATGTTTGACACTGCCTGGCTTACACAAGCATTGCATCATCATCCGAGGCCAACTGGGAGCTTTACTTGCCCAGCCAGCCCACACTTCACAGAGAAACTGAGATATATATCCACCATTTCAATCGGGCTGATCAAACCATTCATGCATACTTAAAATGTTACAGAATAATTAATGAGTTAACAAAACCTATAACTATAACAAATGACTACAATTTTTGTTTTGTCTCACAGCACAGCAGCCATTACAATAGATTTTTTAAATGGCATGACAGAGTTGTTGCGGAAATATCACATAAAGCAACATTTCATACTTTTACATAGCGCTGCCACAAAATTAATCAGCATGTTCCAATAAAAAATGACCACTTGAGGGTGTTATAAGAACTATCAATTCTCAAAGTTTACTTCTAAGCTAATTTTCCTTGAAGTAAACACATTTTTTTTTAAATCTAATTTTTTCACTCCCCCAAGACAAATTATTCGGTGCTCTGCTTATCGGGTTATAGTATTAAAGAATCAAACCCAGAGAGGGAGAAATAATCACTAAATGAAAGTTAGTGAACAATCCTTCCTGTCTCTATGACTCCCAGGAGAAGTCACAAACAGGTTCAAAGCTCCCACATATGACCGAGGCTGAAGGGACTGCACATCCCTTCCAAAAAATAAATTTAAAAAAATCTCAAACTATAACTCTCTCGACCTTTATGCCTTTTGAAATAGCAAATGTAGTGATTTAGTTCTTAAACAAATCTTCATCTGTATATGAAAACAACTGATAAATTTCCCAATTAGTCACATTTCCATTTGTAGAGGATTAATATAGCGTCTGGTGTAAACAGAATGCATACTGACTGACGTACGAGCAGGAGAAGATGCTCATGGTGGAAACCTGAGACTATGCACAGTAAAAATCAGTAAATTTGCATTTAATTAACAGATCACAGCAGAAAAATATCCGCCCACAAATTCACACTCACTATGCCGCCGAGTCATTCAGCTGGTATTCTCGCGATCTTGCAAAGCAGCTCTGTATGCCGCTGTCACTCCACAGTCGCCTGATCACGTTAGCCAAGTCATCAGGGAGAATGCCCTGTTCCTCAGCAGCTGCAGCCAGGGCAAAGAGCTGCTGGGCATCGTCCTGCAGGGGGCAATAAGGACACAGGAGTGGGTTGTTAAGAACACTGCAACTAAAACCAAGGCGACAGCTGCTATCCTTGACACAATCAAACATGATCAAAGATCCAGTTGGTTCTTAAAGACAAAGAGTTACATGCTCTTATGTACAGGACATTAAAGAGTAACCGCTGTTACTTCCCCTTCTATAATGGCTGGGAGGGAAGTCGTTCCTGAAGCAAATTTCATATAACTGATCAAATGACAAAAACCCTAGTTGTATTTCTCTGGTAACTTTTTTTAAAAAATTTCAGCTAAAGCTAAGGAATAAGGTTAAGAAATATCTAACAATGGCATTTAGAAATAGAAAGGATATTTCTTCTGCCAGTACAATCAAGAGGAAAAATTACAATGGCAATTAGCTGGCAAACATGTTCTGATAGTTCTTGAATTCCTGCAAAATGGCACCACTGGAAACCAAAACATATTCTTCAGCTATGGAAATATTTAGAAACAAGCTAACCTGTGTAACATGTTAGAGAAATTTCAACAGGCAGTTACAATCGGATTTTGATTTAAATACTAGGGGTGCAACGATACACAAAATTCACGGTTCGGTTCGATACTTTGGTGTCACGATATTTTTTCGATACAAAAAAAATGTTCATGCCTTTTTAATTTGTCATTTATTAAAATTATAAATATATATTTTAACTCAGAAGTACAGTTTTTAAATTTAACCCTAACCCTTGTGCGTGTTTTTTATTTTGACAGCGAATGCGCACCTGCGGACCACTTATGTGCAGCCCTGGTTGTTTAGCTCGTCATATTGCAGCCACAGAAATTATTTTGTCCATGAAACCATAAAGCTGCACTTTCTTTTTGCCTTATAGTCTGATTTGTCATAACTTCTCCGTTTTGTGGTAAGCTTTTATTTGGCTGTCACTTCTTCATCCTGACCTGTCTTATTTGGCGCAGCAGAACTGAAATGCTTTTACACACGGACTCACATAAGCTCAGCGATTCTCTGTGCGATCAACCTCTCACATGTTTAAGCTGCGGGAGATTTCACTTGTCATGTTTGCGTAGTAAGCTAACAATTAATAAGACGATGTCAGAGGAATTGGTGCACAAATTATCATCACTCACAGATCAGTGCTGTTGCTCTCTATACACAGTTCACATGATTGCAAAGTGAAAGCAAAAAAACAAGCGCAAATTCAAACGCGATTTCAATATGTCACATATTGGCAGTGGCTCACCGATGCCAATGACATAATTACCCAGCTACATTTCTGAAAGAATGCAAAAGCATTGACATATATTTTTCCTTCCTACAATAGCCCGACGGGCAGGGAAGAGATAGATTTTGGTAGCCCGACTGAAAAAATCGCTAGCTCCAGGACATCGGGCTAGCGATATTGCAAGCCCTGTATCTGATTGAGGAATCACTCATCTTTGGAAAAGAGAGTTTATTACAGAGAAATGTCTCTTTCCAAAATAAAAGCTATACTATCCGCTTCTTCTGGGCTATATTCTCAGCAGCATATTAAACATATCAGGTCCCCATAAGGAGAATCCTGTGCTAACAGCTGTCTAAATGACTCGGCTAAAGGTAGTAGCATGCTTGTTGTTTTTGTCTTTGCACTAGGATGATGTCAGCGTAAATGTGTAGTCATATTCGTTGTGTTCCCACTAGTGCTTTCAGGTTAATCTCGTTGAAATGACCTTAACGCCACAACACGGCAAATCTCTGTTAACGAGCTACCGCTGATCGCCCGTGCATGGGACTAGACGGCCAACACTTAACGAGCTAACTGCGCTAACACGCCAGCTCCCACCCATGTAATTGAGCATTGCATGGCACATCCAACATACTGTTTTACTTTAGTCCATGACACGCTTACCTTCAGGGTCATACGTCACATGAAAACCAAAATAATTCCAAACGCCAGATCTGAATGGGGGGGGTCCATGTTGCAAGGAGACCTTAACTTCTGTCTCGCTAGCTTGCCCTGCGCTCTTCCTTCTGACTATGCTGTCTGTGTTGAGCGCTCAGTGGATCTGCGCTCAACAGTGCAGCCTAGGCGGAGTAGTTGAACACAGATTCACTGAGCGCTCAACACAGACAGCATCGTCAGAAGGAAAGTTGATAAAATAAATTACAAATGTTGTATTGTTCCATACATATGCCTACCGAACCGAAAGCACTGTATCAAACGGTTCAATATCAATACGAATATCGTTGCACCCCTATTAAATACTTATTGATAATCTAATACAACAGTATGGACCAATGTGAGCGATATCTCTATAGAACTGGCACAAAGAGAGGAAATATTTTAAAGTAAAGTGATTATAATATCATTACAACATGTGATAAAGCAATGTGGCAGCCAATTTGGGCTGACCACATGTAAGATATATGAGATAGGTCTGTATGACTCAAAGTAACAGCATGCAGGGCTGCTTCAACAGACTGTGGTTTGATTTCCTGCTGTTTGCCACCTTGCTTGTTTCTCTCAGTTCACCATCTTCCTGTTGGCACAATGTTAATTATTTCTCTCTGACCTTTATTCTCAAGGATAGAAATTCTAAGAGTAATAAATAAACCTTGGTTTTCTCTGCACATTTGTATGTGTAACTAACTTAATGCAACTGCAGTCAGGATTTTCTAGAGTTCTGAATATGTATGGCATCATCAAAATACACAAATGGTTCATAATGAAACATTTCGTAATTGTGAATGGAAACAAATTGGACTGAGTAGAAATCTATTACTATCTCTACCTGCCATTGTCATCCAGTCAGTATACAATCATGGTCACTTTATTAGGTACACGTATTCAACTGCTCCTTAACAAAAATGTCAAATCAGCCACATGCCAAAAACCCAGATCTAGACATGCCAACATAATCAAGACAACTCTCTGGGATTCAAACCGACAATCAGAATGAGGACGAAAGATGATTTAAGTAAGATGCTGCAAGGGCTGGTCTCAGTATTTCAGAAAATGCGCATCTACTGGGATTTTCCCACACAACCCTCTCTAGTGTTTACAGATAATGTTCTGAAAAAGAGAAAATATCCAGTGAGCAGCAGTTCAAATGCCTTGTTGAAGTCAGAGGTCAGAGGAGAATAACCAGACTGCTTCAAGCTGAGAAGAAGACAGCAGTATTTCAACAAATCTCTTGCTACAACCACGTTACGCAGAAGACCATCTCTGAATGCACAACACATTGAACCTGTAAGTATATGGGGTAGAGCAGCAGAAGACCACACCAGGTACTACCTCCTGTCAGCTAAGAACAGGAAGCTGAGGCTAAAATTCACAACGGTTCACAAAAGTTGGACAACAGAAAACACCACAAAAGCCTGGATTCATCCTGCAGGGCGGTGTAATTGCGTGAAGGTTATTTTTATTTTTTTTTTAAATTGTTTGGGCTATTTAGTAGTGACTGAGCATCATTTCTGAATACTGTTCCTGACCCTGTCCACAAATTTATGAACATAGTGTGCCCATCTTCTGATGGATGCTTCCAACACACCTAGTTTCTTGAAACTGACAATGAGTTCACTGTGTTCAAATGACCTCCACAGTCACCAGATATTAGTTCAATAGAGCACCTCTGGGATGTTGTGGAATGGGAGATTTACATCATGGATCTGCAGCCTAAAATCTGCAGGAATTCTAGGATGCTATTGCATCAATAATAACCAAAATCTCAGAGTTATGTTTTCACCACCTTGTTAAATCTATGCAGTGAAGAATTAAGGCGAATTTGAAGGCAGAAGGGAGTCCAGTACTAACAAAGCAGCCGGTGAATGTACGTCTGTGCCTATTAGATGGTGATGTTTACGTTGGTTAAATGGCCAGCTTACTGAATTTGTGTATGTCCTTTATTATTGGTCCAGTCAATGTCTTGACTGGACCAATAGCATTACTGTTCTTTTGAAATGTGTTTATTTAGTGGTGCGTCACTATGAGTGATGCGCTCACATGCTGCCAATGAAATTGATGTTTACGATGGCTCTCTGGGAATGTGACACATTTACTAAAACTCTTTCTGCTCTTTTTAACACAGCTACAAGTTGCAGACTGCAGAATATTAGACTCACACACACTCGCCTTATCCTTCTCCTCTTTGTCATTCACTTACAAATTTGCAGGCTCCGACTGCACTTGCAGCTGCAATGAATCACCATGAAACTGCAAACACTGACTTGAGTTTCATGTTTACTTCTATACAGCAGCATAATGTGTCTGTTAATGATCCTTATCACATGCAGATCAGCTGCTACAATCAGCTCAACTGAAATCCAATATGGGGCATAATTAAAGAATAGTATGAAAGCCATAAGCGTGTGTCAATTTCTACAGGGCTGCTGCGCAAGTATGGGCAGGCTAGCACACTAATTGCTATGTGTGGGAGTGCGAGAGTAGCATCACGTACACCCAGCCATTTGACAGATCTATGGGTGAGAAAAAAAACGTCACCACAGCAGAGTCCTTAATCCTTCTATTACAGCTTCACTTACAGGATGCACACACGGCCACTGTCAGACCTCACCGGCAGCTTGTTTGAAAGTTGATAAGTGTCCACAGGGTGCAGGAGACTGCAACTCAGCATCTCTTGTCTTCTGTCTGCAGGTTTAAGTATAAAAGTTTCACGGATGCCCTGTTGTGTTTAACTTAGTGTGTGTTTGTATGAGCTGCACCTAATTATTTAGTGTGTTCATTAAGTACTTCTGATATGCTCGAATTGTGCAGTCATAATAATGAAGTTCGTTAATCACCTAATTAAAGATCTGAATTAACTGAATCCAAATGCACATCTCGCCCTCACAATCACATCACATCTCTGTCCAAAATCCCATAGATATTAAATTTGCTGTTGGATGAACTACACAGACAACTTCCACATCCGCACATCAGAGAAATCATTAAATATCTTTTACGTGTCAGCCTTTGAAATTCTTGTATGGTGACACAGTACTTAGCTTAAATGTGGCATTCTTTGCAAATCCTTACTTTTAAACAGAGGTACATTTTTTTCCCCCCGAAAGCAACTGTTAATTTTTTCTACTCAGATGACAACTGTTGCTGGCAGATTTTATCAGCTGTAGCTATGGCTAATTAAATTATTTTTAGATCCATGACTTGCACGTCGAAAATCGTCTCTGGCTGCCTCTCAAATATTTCACTCTGCCTCGTTCTAAAATGAGAATGATGATGAACTGTGAAGTAGTGGATTGGATGACTTAACAAAGACCTAGAGCTTGTAAAGCTCAATAAAGCTGATTATAGAGACAGATTTACTTGATAATTCTGTGGATTTTAGCACTAAAAACAACTGTTTTCACTTCATCACTTTTTTTTTTAACACTTATACATAATAAACAGCTTTAACGATGTAAGCGTTTGCCTCACTGTTTGAAATTTTGAACACATTTAATATGAACGTGTTATGTCCAGATCATTTAGAACATACCAAGAAATGGAGATCCTCAGAGAAACAATTTTTCCTGGGTCAATATTTTTTTTAACAACAAGTCAACACAAAGGCGGTTCAAGGAGAACTGATAAGCAGGTGCTTACCTAAAACCAAATATGGCTTAAACTAGGTGTTACTGCAGCACACCCAAGCGAAATCAAATGAAAACCAAGTTAGCGACCTGAAAGGCAAGAGCCTTCCAGAAGAAGAGACAGCCAGCGAGGAAACTGGTTTCTATAGAGTTCCCAAGCATTCCCAAGCCATTTCCTGATTAGGATCTGAAATAGAGCACGTAAAAGGCAGGCCTGCCAAAGAACATAAACACAAGACCTAGAGCTGTCACAAGCATGCGCTACTGTAACTCTTTATATATGACAGAAAATAAATAAATGCATAATCAATCATCTTTAATATGTGGAGTAATTTAAAGACTGACAAGCCTGTTTTCATTAGCTAGCCAGTTATAAAACCATTAGTTTGGGAGTGATTAGGTTTAGCAAACACTAACATGCAAAGCAAACATAAATGATGGGTAACAATTGTTACAAAACACCTCCAGACAAATGGGTTAGCAACAAGATCTTCCTTTTACAGTTGGGTATTCTTCAAAATAAGAAATTAGTTTGTGTTGCTGCTGAGGCTGCAGAAACCAGCCTCTGCAGTGCTGTTCAAACGTGCCCTGCTAGCAGCACTGAATTAATCCAATCTGCACCAGAGCTCTCAGTGGCTGCTGTTGCTCCTGCAGCAGGTATACTTTCAGACTCCTCTCTGTCTAGTACAACTTTAAGGAGACAGCAGATCAAAGATGGACCAGATGGAGTCAGTAAGACAAGTGCTATTTCCCTGCAGGTTGCAAAGACATATCAGGAAAGGATTATACTGTGCTCCAGTTCTGTGTAACACCTACTACATAAATCTTACTGCTGATAAAAAAAAAGGCTGCTGTGAACAGATGCATGTTGGAAATCACATGATACCATGTTTGTTTAAAACACTGGCACAGCCCGACAGTGGTATTGACTGAAAAAGAACTGCCAAGAAGAGGAAACATGTAAGAAAGAGTCATAGTAGCCTTTAAATAATCCTATTTTACCGTGTTATACATGTCTTAGTAATGACACATACGTGTATATGTATGTATGTAAGCAACTGGGTTATTTAGCCTCTTTATATTGAGAAAAAGGACCAAGTAAATAGGGCACAGTGACTGGAAACAATGGAAAACTTGTGATTTCAATTCTGGGAAAGCACAATGTAACTCTTAAGTACTGTGCCAGATACACAGTTGCAAGACGCTGTTGATAAAGCAGGCTTTGTTTTGTTTAGCCCCAAGCGACATCCTGGTAAGTCAATGGTTAGTAAGGCCAAATTAAATTCAGCATTCTCACATAACAATGGTTTTTAGCCTTTGGTCTGGATCTTGCTCCTGAGTCTTTATTGCTCTTACACATCCCATGCTTACCAACAGATAAAGCATTTTGTAAAGATCAAGTAAAAAAGCATTTAGAGTGATTATTTTGTACACAAACGCCATGCTTTAGAAAATACATTGTGTTTGGGAGTGTTTGTGCATCTTACCACTCTGGTGGGATTGCTGTAGTCTATCTTCAGACTGGCCATGGCTTTAACAATGGCCATTATAGATTGGATGGTATTACTATAAACCACTGCTCTGTACTGCTTACACTCATCTTCTGAGTAGCCATCTTCATGGATGATCCTGAGAATATCAAGAGACATTCAAGTTTTATTTAAGTGCACATTAAAACATTGCCCACAGTATTCTCAAATGTGTGATGCAATTATGCTTGCTGAAATCATTTCTACTGTTTACCCTGTCAATTAAAAAACTCTTCTGGTGCACTTCAAGTGTAAATAATGACACATTTTTGCTTTTTGCACAGAATGTGAAATTCATTTAACAGCAGACACACATCAGGATGGAATTAGTTCATGGCCGATAAGAACAGGATGACAGATTAGCAACACTTGGTTCGATGTACATGAGGGGGAATCAATTATTGTTTTAATGAAGTCTTCAAAAACTACTTCTTATGCTTCACTATGTGCACTACAAGCTCATTTGGAGTGTTCTCCAGCATCCTTGCTATAAAAATAAAGAAAAAAACAGCTTAAAGTATATAAAATGAAGCAACTTGTGAATTCTTACTGTCAGCAGGTATCCCAAAAAGTCATGCTGGAGCTCAGTGGTACAGATGACATGGATGGATGTGGGTGGCAACACAGCGTAAGGAATAGCACAGAATCTGACCTATTTATAACCTATTTATTACCTACTGCCTTTATTACCTATTTGTCACCTGTTTGACCTTATTTCTTTTAATAAATCAATGTAAAGTTGTCTGAAATTCTCTTAAAGAAACATACATGTTGATTATTACTGAATTATTTTTAAGAAGACATATTCCCAAATGCAGTTACATAGTTAAGCTGCCAGGCTCAGATTTAAGTCAAACTGCTAAACTAAACAGCTTCTTTCACACAGAAAATCAGACTAGCTCAAATTCTGTTACTGGCTAGTTAAAGATTAACATCATTAATGTCTTTGTACTGTATAGTTTAAATCATTTTCTTTACAATCATTGTTACACATTAATGATTACATTAAGAGTTTTGGCTGTGTTTAAACTCAAAATATTTTTGAAGCTAAAAGCTGATTTTGTTTTGTCTGTGTTGCTATCTAGTCTATAAAAAATCATACTGAATACTCAGTGTAACATTTATCATGTCAGCATGCTGTGTAGGATGATGTGTAGCAAACGGGGTTAACACACAGTGGGACTGCCTCAACACTGCAGCATTCAGCTGATGCAGTATCCTAACTTTACCTCTTGCAGTATTATTACCCTGACTGCGACGGAACTAAGTGTTTGTGCATGCACAAGTGTGCAGCCCATCATGAGGTGCAATCACCCAGATTTCATCAGGCTGCAGAACAAAGTGCAGAGAGAGCGAAGTGAGACAGCCCCACAGTAATTCTAAAGTGGGTCTGCCCCCTGCTTTTAACAGCCTACCGATGTTAATGTTAATGAACAGTAATAATTTAGAAAACAGCTGCCTTCTTTTTGAGCTGTTCTAAGAACGTTGAATTAGCTAACTTTTCTTACTGTAAGACATGTTTACACCGCACAATGTCATCATACATGACATTATTTAATGTCATGTATGACATTAAATAAAAGGTCAGAGTCATGATTGCTTCTGTCTTCATGCTGATAAATCGATACCTCTGTACAAGTTTATAAATTAGCTTCAAAAGCAACAGACTGTTCTTGGTCCAAACTCATAAAAAATGGATTCAATGCCTGGTTAGCCCAGAGGAATGTGAATAATTAAGGCATTTAGTGTCCTCTGTGTTTATCCATTAGTGTGTGAGTATCTGTGTCATTGTGTATCCTGATTGGTGCACAAGCTTTACAAAAAGAAAGAAAGAAAAGAAAGAAATGAAAAGCCTTTGTTTTATAGACAGCATAAAAGATGGACCTAGCTACCCTGACATCATCCCCTGGTTTATGAAGTCTCGTTTTGAAGCCTCAAAATGAGTGTTTTTACCATCGTCATTTTGATTTCAAAATAGCTATATGACATGGAGGGGTCTAGCTTTAAAATTACTTGCGCACTGGACCTCCATTCTGAAACACAGGACTCCCAAGATTTACAAAAGGCTTTTTTATTCAGTATGACCCAAGACTGAGAGACTGAGCCCAGAAACCTATCAGGAAAGTGTTTGCAGAGGTCAAGATGGAGGGACATTTTCCCATAGACTCCTATTGGTCTCAGAAGCCAAGTCTATGTGTTAAGTACTTTCCAATAACCCTATACGTTCTCACATGTACAAAAAAATTCTAAACACCTGTGACCACAACATCACCTGGGAACCAACTTGAAATAACTCCACTGTATTGTATCTAAAACTGAAACGATTTAACTGTAAACTGCTCAAGTTCTCTGACCGAAACACATAAAATAAGAACAGTGAACTGTGACCGGAAGTTAACAGGGTTTCCCCTTACGGCAGTCAGTCAATACTTATTGAGGCATACCATTACAACAACCTATGCAGCACACCCCACTGTAAGTTGGAAATATTATATCAACATGATGGATAAAGTTGTGCCTATTAACCTTAGAACATGGCATCCTCATGCACTGACATTTTAATAAAGCCAATAACTTACCTCTCTAAATGTCTTGGATTTTATGAGCGTCTTAGAATTAAACAGACTGTCAGAAATCGATTATATGTATTCTTCTGCACACTTTTGTAACTGAAGAATTAAGCAGTGATAGCAATATCAGTTTACACATTCAAACTGCCAGATTTTCTTGCAGTCTCTAGCTAAAACAAATGTGTTGCTTTTAGCTTGTATTATATTTTAAATTTATTATATTTATTTAGGATTATCTCTTGTTCTTCTTTAAATATGCAGCTCTAGACCTGTCCATTTTTGGAAATGGGTCATCTGGTGTCAGCACTGCCCCCTCTTATGTAAACACACTCATTGCTAAAGTCAGAAAATCTGGGTTGACTTCCTGGGGTGTTAACCGGCATCGTGTGACCACTTATAATATGACTGTGGTTATTAGGCTCAGTGACACAATATAATTAAAGTTTATTGTGATTATAAAAAAATTTCTTAATTTGTGAGGTTTTTAAAAGACATTTACAAATACTGGCAGTGGCCAATGGTACCCCTCAGCCTCCTAGTAGAGGCACCTATCGTATGAATTTAAAAATCCCACGTCACCTTATTCTCAAACTATCGTATTCACAAGCTTTTCAGATCAATTGACCTCGGACTTCTATGCTTGAGGTCGAGGTCTATGAGATTCGAACTCTTCTGAGACCTTGAGTAGATACACCTATGGTATCAATTTAAATGTCACTCCGTTCTCGAGTCATCACGTTCACAAACTTGTCCCCCACCTGTTGGCATGGTGATGGCAATATACCACATTATACATATGTACATCCTTTCACAGCTGAGGGGTAAAAATCTAAATGGACTATCTTAAAGGGCAACATTTACTTCCACACACAGACATAAGAACTACTTTGGTTGCTTTTGTTAAACAAGGAAACAACTATTTGACCAACAGATCATAGAAAAAATGAGTAACGGGCATATAGCATTAGAGCTAATATTAGTTTGTAGCTTTTAATGGTTTTGTGATTACCAACCAAATTCCAGTGACGTGAAAAAGCTTTTGTGTTACACAGAATTTAAAAAAGGTGGAATAAACATTCCTTTTGCAACTTACTTCATCTGCTTTACAATGGTGCTCTTTCCAGACTCCCCAGCACCTGTTGGAACATTAACATGAAAGAGTTACAAAGGATCTCTGTGCACATAACAAGAATAAACTTAAACTTTAGTTGTGGCTGTTCCTGCTTTGAAAATAAGAGCAACACACAGTGATGACCTACTGCTAACATCACATTCATCCTCTGGGTTGCCTGGTTTATTTATGTTTCCGTTTGTGAGAACACGATGTACAGATATGCATGAATGCTTCCCATATTCATTTCAGTGTTTATTTTTCACTCCAGAAGAAGTGGCTTTTGACTATTAAATAGTTCACAACAATAAGCCACTTATTATGATGAGAAAAAGATCATTTAAAGGTGGCTTTGCGGCACACAACATTTTATCAGGGATGTCATATTTAGCTAGTTGGCTAATTAGACAAACTACACAGCAGAAGTTTGTGTTGGCTCTTAGTCATCCAGTTCATGGTAGTCTTAGGAGCTTGAAAAAGAAGGCAACTGGACTTCCTTAAGTTTATGAAAACATTTCACCGCTCATCCAAGAAGCTTCTTGAGTTATAGAAACAAAGTGGACACTCCCAAGTATCCTTTGGAGGTGGTCGTTGACCCACTATTGATAATGTGCATCATCACATAAGCCAAGATGCGAAAAAAGTCAATGGTCATTACCATCAGCAGGGGTAAAGGGTGAAACCACTGTGAGACTTTGCCCCATCATGTGACCTACCCCAATCTAACCTGAGGCAAGGTGTGTGTGTCCGGGATCTAAGGACCTAAAGACTGCATTGTAGGTGGCTGACAAATGGTGTGGTAAGCCACCACCTCTGTTCAATGATGTTTGTTCACAGCGACCATCTGTCTTCACTGTCCAAAGAGTGACCTTTGTCCTTCAGGTGAATGAGTGTACAGGTGAGTGTTGTCCTGTTGAGGTGTAACTCTATGTTCTGTCATGCATTTGTGGAATGATTGTTCAGTTTCTCCTATGTACAGGTCTGACCTCTCCTCACTGAAGTGCACATAGTGTATATGTTGTTTAGCTTGTGTTTAGAAAGTTTTTTCCTAGGGATGACCAAGTCAATAGTAGATCAATGTCCACTTCAAAGGGAACAACCTCCACTAGAGGTTAAATATCTGGGACTCCATACCTTTTGTTTTTAGAAATAAAGAAGCCCAGTTCTAAAGAAGCCCAGTTCTTTGATGCACGAGATTTATAAAATGTGTCACATTTATATTAGAGTTTCTATTTGCCCACACAGATGTGGAAGGGCCTACGTGACACCAACATGCTTGAGTAGAGAAAACTGTGTGCACAAATGAAACATTAGAATTTCATGGTCTTTTATGCCAAATTATATTAGAAACCCTTTGGTTTGGACTGGAAACTCTCATGTTACTTTATTATTATTATGAGTGACGATATGGAGCAATGTTCACTCCGTTCGCTTGTTTGTAGTTTGATCCTATTCCAGTATTTTAGTTAATGTCAACTGACAGCAATTTCAAAATTCCTCAGGAAAAGTTAATAAAAGCAAGAGGAAAACAACAAGCTAGTCAAGCATAAAAGTAAACAATAGATTTTGAAATAGTGAAGAGAATTCAATGCATTGCAGAGCACAGTACAGGGCACACATTGGATTTAGTGCTGAAACCACCATCTTGGTTACGCTGCTGTAAAAGCAAGAAACGCTACACCATCGGACCAGTAAAATTCCTATTCCTCTGGATCAAAAGTAAAGAACTAAAGATCCATTAAGAATTTAAAACTTAATTCTGAGTCAGCCAAGCAAAAACTGTATGTTCCTTACACAAGCAAAATCATCACGCACACAGTTCACAAGTCAGCGCTTTACTCCCTTTTGTTTCATAGCCTGTAAACCTACTTCCATAAGTTCTGAATACAGTGAGTAACACAATGAATGAATACAATGTTTCCGGACAATTGTTATCATGTTGAAATGAGGAGACACGAGCTCTTGCCACTTCTGCGCCACCATAAACTGTCCCTTCACGCCACCTGACCCAGCCCTGCCAACAGACATTAGCTTAGCCTTGGGCTGACGGACCAACTGGGACAAGCAGTGTTGCCCGTTCACGCTGTCAACACACATCGTTTTCGCACACATCAAGTACTTTTCTGAGAAAAAGAAGGGAACGCAAAGGGAGAAGTGTAAAAAGCCAAGTCTTAGGTTACATTTGCTGTGCTGCAAGCTGTCAGAGAGCTGGATGGATCTCTAGGTGATTTGTGTATTTATAAAATATATATATATATATTTTATGCAACAACCCAGCAGACAAAAGAATGTGTGTTTTTTTTAAAACATGAAAAATGATCTTCTCAGTTTTCTCTTTTGAATTACTAATGCCCGCTTCTTGTTGTAGAAACCTCTAATCAAGACAAAACTGTGTAAGGAGCTGCTTCTTTTTTTCAACACCATATCTCTTAAGAACACATTGTTTTATTGCAAGGGCCTTGTCAAATCTCCTCTTTTGAACTGCCATCTACTTATATCTGGAACATTAAAGCTTCCTTTCAGATGCACAAGCATGAACAAATAACATAAATACAGCCTCTGATTTACAAGTGCTTATATAAAAAAATGTCCTGGTTAAAAATATAAGGTAGGTGGTAGAAAGTGTGATATCCACCTCTCTGTGGACACACATGTGTATGAAGGGCACCTTTCTGATTCCAGAATAAAACTCATCCATTAATATTTCAGACCTAAAGGGAGGTGGACGCTTGTGAGCAGCAGAGAAAAAGAAAAGAGCCTCCCAATTCTTCAGGCACACGGTATTACAGGAAAACCGGGGACTGCTCTTATTCTGCTTCAGGGGAAAACTTTTGAACTGATGTTGTATTTACAGGAAAATATCACTATTCCTGCAACCTAAGGGAATAGACAGTGCAAGACAAACACAAATATTTTTAATCCATCTTCAGTGTGGAATTGATTGTGAACCATTAGAAAGAAAAGCAGTCTGAATGATTTGTGTTTCCTTGTTTTATAATGAAAAATATAAAAATGCACTGTAGCCAGCAGAAGATTTTTCAGGCAGATACCAAATACAGATTTCAAGTACAGATTTCAAAAGCACACATTAAAGGTGTGATATTTGAATCTTGGTAAAGGTTCAAAAGTGTTCTAATTAAATATTTCCTGAGTAGAGTATTTTATTATTAAATATGTTCATTTATCTCTCTTGCAGGGATAGCACCTTGCTAAGATCATGGAGTGTTGTATTTCCTCCACAGATATAAGGTAGTAGCATAAATCTTATTAAGGAGTGAAAAAAAAGTGTTACACAATGCTTATTTCAAAAGCTCAAATTATTATTTTTAATTAGCATGTGTTGCGTCTACACAAAACAGCAAAAGTAGACTAACCATTTAAGGTGGGAACAGACACTTTTTTATTGATAACTGTTTTTTAAGTAAATGTACACTACCAGTGAAAACTTTGGACACACCTTTTCATTTAATGGTTTTTCTTTATATATACCACTCTCTACATTGCAGATACATACTGAAGACATCAAATATATGAAGCAAGATATGTGGAATTATAGAAAAAATGTGTAACTCTAAATATGTTAATATTTTAGATTCCTCAAAGTAGCCACTCTTTGCTTTGCTGACAGCACTGCAAACAAGCAAGGGTTCATTTGTGGAATTTCTTGTCTTCTTAATGGGGTTGGGACCATCAGATGTGTTGTGCAGAAGTCAGGTTGGTACACAGCTGACTGCCCTATTTGACAACTGTTAGAATTCATATTCTCTGGGAACTCCTTCAAGACTGTTGAAAAACCATTTCAGGTGACAAACCTCCCCATATGGAAAAGATATATATAAATCTTATAAAGTTTGTATCTGTCTGGTGTGAAACTTGTATGAAATGCATATAAGAGTGAAAACAGATATACGATCCCTTGAAAACTTATATAATGAAACTTGTATGTTTTGGATACTTACTAAAACAATATATGAAAGTAATGAGAAAGTGGCCACTTTCATGAGTAATCACATATAAGTTTTTACTATTTCTTTTCCATATGGGTCATGAAGCTTATCGAGGGAATGCCAAGAGTGTGCAAGCAGTGATCAAAGGGTGGATAGTTTGAAGAATCTAAAATGTAAAACATGTTTTGAGATATTTCAGACTCTGAGATACTTCAGACTAACTCCATATGTGTTCATTCATAGTTTTAATCCCTTCAGTGAGTCTACAATGTAAATAGTCATGAAAATACAGAAAAAAAAACATTGAAATGAGAAGGTGTGTCCAAACTTACATCACTGGCACTCAAAACAGTGTTTCCAAGGGTAAAAAGAGCTACTTTTGTCGTGGTCTGGGTGGTTTTCCACAGCATCAGCTCCTCCCCACTGGGTGGAGTCTTTGTTGTTCCTCACCTGATGGCAATCGTACCAGCAGTATTTATGACAGGCGCACTCAACTGGTCTTCGCCAGATTATCTGCCAACTTTAGTCAGTTCTCGACCTCACGTCCGTTCCTTGGTGACTAATCGCGTGTATTAACCGTATCTCTGTTTTTCTCGTCAGCCTCTGAAACCCACCTACCAAGCTCTCCTGGATACCAGTTTGCTGCCGCCGGTAATCCCCAGAGGTGTGGACTCGAGTCACATGACTTGGACTCGAGTCAGACTCGAGTCATTAATTTTATGACTTTAGACTTGACTTGAAAAAATGTTCTAAGACTTGTGACTTGACTTGGACTTTTACACCAATGACTTGGGACTTGAATTGGACTTGAACCGGTTTACTTGAAAAGACTTGATATTTCACCCCAAATATAAAATTTAACATGCATATTATATAGAGATTGAAAATGTGACGTCATTCAGGGGTAAACCGCAAAGAATTCTGGGAACTCGTGGCAAGAGGTACTAGCGCACGCAGGCTTTCAATTGAAATCAGTCACACAGCGATAAAAAGAAACACAAAAATGTCGAGAAGCTGTTGTATTATTAACTGCAATAGCCGGTCGCATGACATCCACGGGAAGCCGACGGGTAAAGAG